GGAGGGGAGGTGAGGAAGCAAGATAGAAAGATCAACATTGAAATGTAGAAGATCGAAGGAGATCCGATCGACGCAAGAGTGTTGAATCTTTTGTGTTGTCAAACGCGCATTTCTATGGATGCACGTAATCGTGTTGTACAATGAAATATTGAGAGTATAAGTAATAAGAAGGTGTATCTCATGTCCCTTCCTTGAGATGCAACTCCACAGTGAGTAGAACTCTCTTGTCTTTGTCGGTAGCCCTCCAGCAATCCAGCGCATCTCCTGCTCTGCACGTCAAAACAACAGTTTCAACCTCCTCCTCTCCACCTTCTCCGAGCTTGGAGAAATAAGTCTCTGCAGGGCATCTGACTCTGCAATCTTGTTCGTCATCGTTACAGTAGATCTGAATTTCTGAGTGACCGTCAGAGTCGTCAGCCAGTCACGATGAGCGGAATCATCACGATTCACCTTGGCCGGAGGGATGAATATTCCGAATGAAAACCCCTATGATCTTCTCGCCTGATACCTTGTACTTCCTCACGCTTTGTTCTACACAGAAGGGGTCGACGAACAAGCAGTCTTGCGACCTGATGCTGGTCCGGCTCTTGTAGTCCTGCTCGTCGATCTCGAGAACAAACACTTGGAAACAAAAGCCAAGAGGAGACGGAAACAGATGCAGCGAGTCCAGCATGCGCGTTAGCGTCAGCGCACCATCGATGAGCACCGGCTTGCCTCCTCGGCTCCGAGTCGCACCCCGCTGAGGCTGGGGGGTCCCTCCATCGTTGTTGAAGGCATGCGCCATGGGGTCCTGGAGCTTCAGTCTCTTCCTGTACTCGTTTTGTACGTAGCTGTTCACGTCCACATCCTCTTGTCGCAGCTCGTAGAGCGTGAGCACGTCTTCGCCCGACTGAACCTGTTTCCACAGCCTGAGCGCAAACTGAATCTTCTTGCTCAGGTTGCTCTTGCAGATGGACATGGTGGTGAGGAGATCTCTGACAAGTGCCGATTGCTCAGGACCAGGAGCATGGATATCGCGGATCTCTTGCCGGTACCGTTCCATGCACTGATCCAACTCCGTCACCTCCAGGAGTTCGCAATCTTCGGCATGCTTCTTCAGATCTGCGATGAGGTTGTCCATCCATGCTATCCCCGTCGCTCGGTCGTCCAGCATCGGTCTCCCTCCTCTCTCTCGCACATATTCACTCCACAAGAGATCACGAGGGTCAAAGACCCAATGCGATATCATCTCGATGTCAAACTCCCCGTCGCTCAGCGCCAGCTCGATGTCATTCAGCTCGTAGGAATGAAACTCTATCAGCTTCTCTAGGTCTTGAAGGCACTTGTCTCGCAGCTGTAGGAAGAAGGAAAGAAGCTCTGAGAACGTCCTCTTGCTCTTCAGCAAACTCATTGAGCAATCGCGGGACAGGGAAGGAAACATCCTCTGCAAAGCTTGCCCAAAAGATTTTCTCAGCGCGAGCTCACTGGGAGACGATGTTGCAGGCTCATTCATCTCTGCAGTTCAAACAGACTTGGCTGGGCTGCTCTATCTTCAACCTGTCCTCCCTCAGTGAGCTCGTCGTCCTTCCCTTCCCTTCTTCCCCTTCGCCGCCTATCTCCCGGTGCTCCCCGGTGCCCGCTGGAGTGTACCGTATGCGGCCGGGCAATGGCACTGCGGCAGTGAAGCCGGGGCCCGGGCGGCGGGCCCGGGCAGCGTGGTCGGCGGCGCGGCTGCGGCGCGATCCCAGCGAAGTTACTTTTCAAGACACTCAAAGTTAGGTTAAAAATTAGTACAAGGACAATCAGGAGAAGTCGGAACAGCGGCCGCCTGTCAGACTGTGGCTAACTTTGAGTAACTGAGGTGCGGACCGTACTGTGGCTAGTAGGGTACGGTACCGTACGCCGGTACCGTACGGGCACGATAGCACTGAGCGGAGCGGCGCTCACGCGGCGGCTGTATCGGACCGGGTACGGTAAGAACGGGCGGGATAGCCCCGGGAGCCGCACTCCAAAATTTCATTGGTACGACTTAAGTTACCGTACGGTAACGGTAGTGATAGTACTGCCGTGCTAAGTACTACAGACGGTTCATGTGGCGTGACAGTGACCCGTGTTCAAGTAGTAACTTGATGTTGCAGTACCGCCGTGCCAGTGTCGGACTGATCGGACAGTGACCGTACACCACCGTGAGGTAACGGGACGCCGGCGGCAAGACTTCGGAAAACGTTCAACGTTCGTTCAGTGAATCATCGTGTCAGGCTGAAGTGAAGTGAAGTTAAACATGTTTCATATGCCGCAGTGCGAAACTGTTTCAAGGCTTGAAGGAATCCCGTTCTCTATCGTACTACTGGAGATTTTATTACTGATGTGACAATGCTGGTAGAAACTGATTGCGCACGTGTCAAGGATGAAGACTTGACTAAAGATGGCGGTACAAACTTTTAATTTCTTGCTAGTACCGTCATAAGTGCGTATCTCCGGAGTTGCTGACGGCGTGTAAGTACAAAATCTGCTAGACTCATCAAAGAGGTCACTCTTGAGACTCTGGAGTGACATGAGGGGGAGGTGACGTGAGGGGGGAGGGAGGAGCGGTGAAGTGATCAGCAAGCGAGGAGTGATGTGTGAGAGAAAGCCGCATGTAAGGGAGCTGACATGAGGGGAACTATGCGAGTGACGGGAACAGTCAGGGAGGGAAGGGGAGGGAGAGGAGGAGAGGAGGGAGGGGAGGGGAGGGGAGGGGAGGGGAGGGGATGTGTTGTATCAGTCCATGAGGATCCGGAACCTCGGGTACTCGTCGGATACTCTGCCGGATATTCCCTATATAGGCGGACGCATCTCGTGCGGACGGCCTCCTGAATTTCCCCCACTTGCATGCACAGTGAGTGTGGTGGTTGTGCGTAGTTTACCTCCCAGTAAACTTAGAGACTTCTATTTCCTGCTTCTCAATCTTCTTCATGATCCTTACTTTACTCGTGTCGTTGACAATCTCTGTGTTGTGTATACAACATTCTGGAAGCGAAGTGGTTGATTCATGACCTCGAAACAAGGAAGAGGAGGAAAGAAACCTCAGCCGGAAAGGAGCCCTCAACCTCGATCTAAGCAATCAGGAGCATTTCAAACAGAAATTGCTGAAGAGAGTTCTGAGGAAGAAGTCGAATGGAGCGAGCGGCTGCAGCTGCAGCAGCAGCAGCTTTCTCCGAGTCAGACCAGTGGATCTTTGACTCAACCTTATAGGGATGGAGATGTACAACGTGAAGCGCTGTCTAGCGCGGATCAACGGGCCCGAAACAAGAGGGATACTCCCTTGCGAAGTATTCTGCGATCAGAGGAGGCAACTCAGCGAGCAGCCTCCCCTGCAACATCGGTACGTCTGCCAAGCTCGGAAAATTTTTCATCCGACCCCGTCATGTCCTCGCCAGTGGCGCAGGACCGAACTCTTCTCCTTCTTCGTTGTTGTATTCTGGACTCATACCGGACGCCCCTTGGACGTAGCGTAGGGAAATAGGATGACGATGCAGATTCCTGCAGTGGTGCTGCTGATCTGATGAGTGTGTGTGCTTAATAAACAGCCTCGGATCCTAAGATCATCTGAGCTCAACGTCTTACGCAAGGTTGTGTATACAACATATGGTAGCGAATTGGTTCACATTCCAGCACTGATTCAGAATCTCAAAGGATGATTTCAGCAAAGAAAGCAAGCAAACTATCAGTATTGAAAGTGAGAAAATCGCGTAAGGCTCAGACCAGTGAACGAAGGATTCCGAGATCTACGGAACAAGTCTCTGACTCAACTTCGATCCACCCAAATGTTGGAGCTCAACAGTTTCAATTCCCCCGTCCTTTTTCCGCAACGAAAGATGATGATTCAATTATGCAAGATCGACCACAGCAGGATTCCCATCATGGGCCAGCTTCTGGTGCTCGCCCATTTTTTTTCACGCCAGTACCAGCCCCGTCTATCTTCGTTCAGGAGTCTCCAGCTCCGCGTGCTTCCCGTCATTCCGCTTTTGGTGCTTTTTCTCCGCGTACCCCTGCCGCAGAGCCCATCCCTGCGATGTCTTCGGGTCGGAATGATGCCCCTGCCGCAGAGCCCATCTCTGCGATGTCTTCAGGTCGAAATTCTCCTGCCACCAACGACAAGGAACCATCTCTTCGTCAACTTTTTGCTTTACTCCTGCAACAGAACGCAGATGCCCAGCAACGTCAAGAAGCACTTGAACGCAAGCTGGATCGAGTCGTCAATTTGAGCAATCTCAGGAATTCAATGATCGTCTACTTGCTCAATCCTACGAACTTCAAGACCGTCTGGTTTCCGCCCTTTCAACCTCCGTGGCAGCAATCCAGCCGAAGCCCCTCCCAGCACCGTCTAGCGCGCAGACGTCTCCGCGCATGGCGAGTTCCCCCTCCCCTCCCAGCCCTCGGCTGATGCAGACGCATGTCATCCCGGTTGAGTCAGATCGGACCCTTCGTCGATTCCGTCCGTCCTCCTCAACCTTTCCCTGGTGACAAACTCCCGAAATTTCAGCCCAGAACGTCCATCACCCCCTTTCTCGGTCAGGCTGATTCTCGAAGCATTCACAGCTGGCTCTCTCAGATGGGACGCGCTCTGTCTGTTCAACGCATTCCCGGCAACCTGTGGGTTTACTATACAACGACATTTCTTGATGACTCTGTTCTTCAACGCATGTCTCACGATCGTCCTCTTGACGAATGGTTTCTTCTTCCCTGGTCGGAATTCTGTCTTTTCATCACGCAGCAATTCCCTCCCGCGGCTCACATCGCCAAACTACTGCACCAAGTGACCAATCTCTGTCAAGGCGTCAACGAATCGATCACTGATTATACTCTTCGGACGCAACGTTATGTTGACGAACTCTTACTCTACAAATCTGAAACTGTCGTATTTCAAGAGCACAATCTTCTTCAACAATTCGCCAACGGTTTTCTCGACCCGGAAGTTCGACTCGTTATGGTCCCCATAGCGCACATGCATCCTGCTACAGCGGCCACGATGTCGCTTCTAGCACAGAAAGCTTTCGCCTTCGTCAAACCGTCTTCTTTGGTTCCGGCTCCACAGCCTATTTGTGCCCTTCAACCCTCTCCGTCGACGCCAGGAGTTCAGCCCTCCCCAGCTCCCGCGCAGTCCTCCGGTTCTCCCCCAAATTATTTCTGCACGTACTGCAAACGTTCTGGACACACGTTGAAGTACTGCCGCAAGAAAAAGCAAGCTGATCGCAATGCTTCTTCCGCCGTGACACAGCCCTCCCATCCTCCAGCGAGTCAAGCCGCCATCGTCAATGTCATCACGGCTCTCCTTCAGAATGGTGCTCCAGCTCTTAACCCGGGCTCTCCCGTCACGCATTCCCCTGCAGTCGCATCCGCTTCTGCTCCTCCTGGGACAGTCTCTTCGTCCTCGTCAGCAAGAGCTCAGCCTCCTGCTGATCCTCCGCCTCAGGAATAGGGTACCGCAGGTCATGCTCTCGGTTATCGCAGTTCGACGACGAGCATGATTTCTTCCTTTACGGAGCCCCAGCTTTGTTCTCATTTTATCTTCTCAGCTGAAACTCCGTCCCCTTCCGTTCTGCACAATTCAGCATCGCTGGTCACCGATCTCATCAAATTTCCCGTGACTTGTTCATCTATTTCTCCCAGTGATGCTGACCCTTATCATTTTACAGCTCTTCTCGATGGCGGTGCTGCCGTCGATGTTATTTCGACCGCCCTCCTCGATCGTTTGCATATTCCCTTATCAGCTATTGACAGCTCTATTCGTATCCCTGTATGCGTCGCCAATGGAGTTCACTTACAGACTCTCGGCATTATTTCTCTTACCTATTCAATTGGCAAACACTCATTTACCGATAATTTCAATGTGTTGCCTTCTACATTATCTACATGCATTTTTTCCCTGACGTGGCAAACTCGATATGGACTTGTTTTTCGTGCCCGAACCCGTGAAGTATGGATTGAATCTTCCCACAAGCAACAACTCGTGCGTCTTCCGACATGCCAGTGAAATGGTTCCGCTTAATTCTCTCACAGCTCCCCAATCCTTTGCGCAAGTTACTTTCCTGTCATTGACCGATGTTTTTGCTTCTCAACAACAAGACAACGATGAGGACGATTGGTTTCTCTGCGTTCTCCAAGTTGATTCATCCTCCACGCCACCGTCAGCCAATTCTTTCTCTCCGGCTCGTTCTTCTGATGTGTCCCCAGAGGAGCAAGCAATTTCTTTACTTCTGGACGAATTTTCTGATGTCATTACCGATGATCTGCCCGCCAATTATAACATTTCTCGTGAATTTCAGGCCACCATTGATATCTTACCTGATGCTAAACCTGTCAGTCTACGACCCTATCGGCTCCCGCTTTTCCTCGAACAGGAACTTCAAAAGACGTTGGAATATTTGTTATCTCGCAACATCATCGAACCTTCCAACAGCCCCTTTGGATTCCCCGTGCTTTACAGTCGCCGCAAAAACCCACTCCTAACCCTGAGGAGATGTTAGAATCTGTCGCCGAGGTCATTCGCAAATCCAAGCGTTTCTTGCACCCTTCTGAATACAAACTTTGGATTTCAGCTCTCGATCTTCTCCGCGGTTTTTGGCAAATTCCTGTTGCCCCTGATCATCGCAAATATGTCGCCATCATCACCAAGTTTGGCAAATATCAGTTTCGCAATCTTCCATTCGGCTACATTCACGCAAGCAATATTTTTCAAGAATGGATTACTCTTCTCTTTCGTGATATTACCAGTGTATTCCCATACATTCAACGGATGACTTGCTCATCCTTGATTTTGGCACGTTTGATCAACACCTCAACACTCTTCGTCGCGTTCTTCTGCGCTGCCGCGAGAATCAAGTTTACCTCAAGAAATCAAAAGTGCACTGCTCTTTCAAGATAGTGTCGAGTTCCTCGGTCATCAAATCTCTGCTGATGGCATATCGAGGCTCAATCCAGTAAGACCAGCGCGATCCTTGACTGGCCACCACCCAGCAACGCAAAGGAGATCAAAATATTTCTTGTGCTCTCCGGATATTACCGTCGCTTTATTCGCAACTATGCCCACATTGCTGCTCCTCTTCATGCTCTTCTTCGTAAGAATGTCGTCTTTCAATGGACTCCCGAGTGTCAGCAAGCCTTCGATCTTCTCAAACACCGGTTAACCTCCTCCCCAATTCTCTCTCACTTTGATCCAGCGCTTAGAACAGAAGTTCACACCGATGCCTCAAACACAGCTCTCGGCGGTGTTCTTCTTCAGTACGACGCTGACAACAAAGAGAAAGTCATTGGATTCTACAGTCGCCTGTTTACTGATGCAGAAAGAAATTATCAAACCACTGAGCGCAAACTTTTGGCCATCAAAGACGTGCTTCTTCACTTCCAATTTTATCTGCTTGGCAAGCCCATCATCCTTCGTACTGATCACAAGGCTCTCACGTACTTTCAAACTCAAAAGGATCTCAAAGGTCGTCTTCGCCGCTGGTTAGAAACTCTCAGTGAATTCTCTATCGTCGAGATCGCGCACGTGAAAGGTACCGATAATGTTGTCCGGGAGTCCCGGACGCTCTCAGCCGCCGCCAATATCCCGACGACGACGTCGCACCTCCACGCGATGACGCAATCCTACATTCAGATGATCAAGATTTTCATCATCTCCTTGCTCTCGATGCTCCTGCTGATAATGCTTCTCTTGTTGAATCTCTTCACGACGCAATCGTCCAAGCATATTCCTCGTGTTCATACTTTTCCACAATCTATCAAGCAGTTCAAAACAACCCATCGTACAAGCATTTTCACATTGAAAATCATCTCCTGATTCTAACAGATAGTCTTCACCGACAACGCATTTGCATTCCTCAATCTGTTCGCAAAGAAGTTCTATACCGTGCCCATGACCTTCACAGTCACCGCGGCTTCTCTCGAACATATTTGGCTCTTGTTCCTGTTGTTTATTGGCCCTCTATGCGTCAACAAGTCGAACGTTACATCCTTTCCTGTCAATCTTGCATCCAATACAAATCTTATCGCAAGCCACAGATGGGACCGTCGCACAGTCAAGCAGCTCCGTCTGATCGTTTTGCTACAATCTCCATCGATGTTGTTTCCGGCTTCCCACCTACTCGTTCTCATTACGACTCGATCTTCGTTTGTGTTGACAACTTTTCTGGCCGTGTCTTTCTGTCTCCATGCAAGAAGACTCTCACCTCTCAACAAGCTGCCGATCTTTTCGTTTCGAAAGTCTGCGCCAACCAAGGCCTTCCCAACGAAATCATTTCAGATAATGCAAAAATCTTCTCTTCTGCCTTTTGGACTAAACTTTTCGACATCTTGCAGGTCAAAATCAAGCATTCTTCGCCTTACTATCCTCAAGGCAATGCTCGACCTGAACGCCTCAACTCCGTCTTGATTGAAGCTCTTCGCATCTACCGTAGTGTGCCAATCGCGTCAACCATGACTGGGACAGATTTCTTCCTCTCTTCGAGATGCATTACAATTCTTCCGTCAAACGTTCAACAGGCCTTGCGCCATTCGAGATTATTTATGGCCGCAACGTCACTGAGTCAAAACTCAACTGGCTCTCCCTGACCTTTCCAACTCGTCTGATGATCCTGACGACATTCGCGAAGCCATCCAAGTGCACATGGAAGCAGCTCGCGATGCCCTCGATCACATGGCTCGTTCAACTGAACAGACCCTTGACCACCACCGTCGCCCTCACAATTTCAACATCGGCGATCTCGTGTGGCTCTCAACGACGAATATTCCCATCACCGACAGCTTTCCCAAGCTCCGTCCTCGTTTCATTGGTCCCTTCAAGATCCTCTCCTTTGTTTCTGACAACACTGTTCATCTCGAACTGACAGATCGCTTTCGTCATCTTGAACACAGCGTCTTCAACCTCAAGTGGCTTCGCCCCCATCAGGACCGTCACTGATCCCAACTTCGAGCTTCACGTCGATCGACCGGATCCTCTTTCGACAGCTCAAGGACTTGAATACGAAGTGGAACAAATTCTCGACAAACGTCAACGAGGTCGTGGTATCCAATATCTTGTTCATTGGAAAGGCTATCCTAACCCAGCTGATCACTCCTGGAAATCAGCTTCTGAACTCAACAAGAAATCTGGTATTCGTGCTTTAATTCAACAATTTGAATCTTCTTTATTAGCTCAAGCGTCACCTTCCCGCCGCTCTTCTTCCTCTTCTTCTGCTGATCCTTAACTCAAGATTCTTCTGAGCGAAGTCAACGACAGGTGGACCATCTTGTCGTCTCGCAGTGGGAGCGATGTTGTATTCTGGACTCATACCGGAGGTAGCGTAGGGAAATAGGATGACGATGCAGATTCCTGCAGTGGTGCTGCTGATCTAATGAGTGTGTGTGCTTAATAAACAGAGATCCTAGGATCATCTGAGCTCAACGTCTTACGCAAGGTTGTGTATACAACAGAGGTGCCGTAAGGTGGGGGGGCGATATGACATGACGCCCGGCGATTAGCAGAGCACACACTCAGAGAGACATCTGGATGCTGACGACAAGATTACATCTGAGAGCAAACAACGGGATATGCAAAATTTTGGGTGGAACGAGCTGTTTCATTAAAGTTTGGAATCTCCACCAATTTGTTTTGAATTTCATACATAAAAGTCAAAAGTCAAAGTCACAACTTTAATTACAGTTATCCTTCTTGATGTGTTCGACTTCTTAATTGAAGCCGCCTGCAGAAGCTTTTTAATAATGGATTCCTGATTTTGACAAGTTGTCATTGCGACCAGCAAAGTGCTGCTTTCGATCTGGGTGTACGAGAAAGCCAACATCTAAGTGGATCAGACGGGAAATGCGTCTACAGCGAATGTTCAAGGCAACTCCGCTCATGGTTCGCATCCAGGATTCATGCGAGCCTTACGGTGTTCTTTACAGCCACCTCTCCTTGGGTCACAACGGCTATAACTGGTCTTCTTCGAAGTTCCCTCTTGCTGCCCGGAATGCCGGGAGGCCGCCCGCCGGGATGCACTCAGCGGCGCGGCAGACTCGCGGCGCACTGCAGCAAGTGACCGTGGCATCTTACAGACGGTCACCCGGTACTGACCGTGATCCGATGATCGAAGAATTTGCAAGGCTTCATGGATCGTCGGAGGAGCCGCAATACTACTTAGGCTGACGGTTACTGAGCCTGGCCTCCGAGCCTCCGAGGCTCAGGCTGGAACGGTCCGACCTTGGGAAGCTGGACTACAAGAGCGCCACGGCGTGGCGTGCGACGGAGGCCAAGTTTCAAGCCTGAAGTTTGCCAAGTTGGTACGGCGCCGGGCATTTAGCACTGCGCCGGCGGCAACCGTTTGAACCAGGCTGCCAAGCCTGTTTTTCGGAGTCTGAGTCCCGGCGGCCAGCGTTTAGAATGACTACTCGGCCTGAGTAAACTTGAGCCGCCGCCGCTGATTCGCTTCAATCAGTGATAGCTGCCCCCCCCCGGGCCAGACAGGCTCTCGAACGGCCCGGGAGTCCGAACCGGTCCGAACCGTAACCGTTCATCCGATCGGATCACGGGCCGGGCCTGGGGCCGCGGCGACTCTCAGTTAATGATTAGCGGGCCGCATTGCCGCAAACTTCGGATCTCGGCGGCCATGGAAGTTACCGGCGGCGGCCCCGGCAGTCACCGGATACTGAAAGTTGAGTACTACTGAGGATCCGGGTACTGTCCCGGTGACCGTACCGTGACCCCGCGGCGTTCCGGAAATAGCCGCATAGGTAGTCAAATAATGACAGCCTGACCTCCACATGACCTCAGCCGCTGCTATGCCGAGATGCCGCAGTGAATGAGGCCGCAGCGACACGCCTGACAGATGCGTCGCGATGCCGTCGGTCACGTGAGGCCGCTGCTTGTAGCACATAAAGTGCTCAGCAGCGTGGGAGAGCTACTAGTCTAAGGGACTCCGGGGGCAAGGGCAAGGGCAAGGGCAAGGGCAAGGGCAAGGGCAAGGGCAAGGGAAAGAGAAAGGGCAAGGGAAAGAGCAAGCGCAAGAGCAGTTTGAAGAGCAAGAGCAAGGGCGAGAGTTTGTGCGTGAGAGGTGAGCAAGGGAAACGAGAGCGAGAGCGAGATTCATCGGAATTGGCATCAGGGACGAGAAGGTAGAATGAAAATAACCATGGCAAGGGGGTAAACCATGTACAAGGAATTTCTTTCGCGTTCAAGAAGCTAACCAATTATATGTCTTTCATTCTTGTATGTTTTTACGTTGTTTGCAATTTCTAACGATTTTCTCTTCATAACTCCGATCTACATCTTAGAATTTATTTTAGTGAGAATCGTTTGTCAATCTGACACGAAAATGACAACAACAAACATTGAATCCTCATTCTGATGCTTTCATTCTCAGATGTTTGCTTTGGTCCGCAGATGCACAAAGCTTGTCACGGTGGAAGATTACGGTATTATACCATCCTGTTGCATATTGCAACAGAAATTTCATGACCACTTGTCTGCCTCCATCGCAGATTTTCAATGGCCTGTTGACGAATTGATGAGCAACGTGTATTCTTGCAATGAATTCGCAAATTGCGTTGATTCTCCATCGGAGTACTCAGGTTCGGGCTATAATTGTGTCTGGTCGATGCATGATTGTGACCGAGACATTGGCAGAGCATATGGCGGACAGATATGAAGGATGGTTCAAAAACGATCAATCTCGCCCTCGAAAGCAAAACAGCTCAGGCAACATGAAATATACTGGAGCCTTCTGATGGACTCCTTCATTTTTCGGTATGTATCAAGTCAAGCTTGTAACTTAGAAGGAGAAAAACAGCAATCGCTCTACGTGCTGCCTGTATGTTGGCCTTCTTCCCACTGCGATAACTCGCGATGAATCTAGAGAGGGGAAGGTCAGAAGACAGGCAACTCATCGCAGTGAAGGAGACTTTTACGACCTTGTGAACGTGCGGAGGGATCGCTTCTTTGCGTTGTCTTGAGAACTTAGTGTTTCCTGCACCTGGGTCAGAGAGGTGCTGCCTCAATCTTCACGCATCTACCGAGCCTGTGCATTTTACTCGCTGGCACGCCTGCGTGAAAGACATCAAGGGATCAGGAAAGCTCGTGAGTGAGTTTAGATCACGTTTGCTCATGACCAGTCGCTGCTCCATTGCGATGATGTCCGCCTGCACAAGGAGATGTTACACTGGCTGGCTGCGAGGAGGCGAGGAAGCAACCTGGTGCTGCATGTACTGGAACAGCCAGCGGACAGAAGGCATTCCTCCGCTGATGGTCATGCTTTCAAAGCTCTGAACAGAGGTCAATCTCGCCGGGCCAGCTCTCAACCCATTGCACCTCGAAGTAGTTATCTGGCAAGATTTGCTGGCTTGTTCTTGCAGCCGTCCGAAATTGATTGGAGGATGGCTGATGTAAGGACGAGACTATCTTCCCCGTCACTCCGAGATGGTCTGTGTCATACTGTCCTGGCCCAGGGACCTGCAAGGATAAAAGTCAAACAACAACATTCATCTCAATGCATGTTCACTGATTCAGCTACTCGGCATGCCTCCAAGTAGTGGCTCCTCCTCCTGCTCAAGCTAAACTTTCCACCTGCCGTCTGCAGCAGCTCTGAGTGACCTCACACCAGCTGAGTCTACTGATTTAACCTTGCCGAAAGGCGATGCCCTTGTGCTGAGTACTGAGTCTGGCGTCCCTCTCTCCCCGTATGATCCTGGTCCTGGCGTCTGAGCGCTGACCCGACTGATGACGTACATCTCAGAGATGGGCTCGTAGAAACTCCATCGACCTCCCTGCTTGCAGTCAGTCATGCGCTGCTGCACTTCCCTAAGCCCTCCGAGAACATGCTGACCTGCTGAGACATAGTTCTTCTCTCCCCCCGCTTCGGAGGAGGAGGAGGAATGGGACGTCGAGCGATGTCCATCAAGTTGTCGTACCTTCCCCACACTTTGCCGTGGCTCCTGATGATGGCCGAGGTCAGGAGCAAGAGCGTATGTCGAAGGGCAAGAAAGAAGGGCTCGGGGATGAGATTCACGTCTCTCACCCTATGGGAGGAGATACGAGGGTCGATCGCCGAGAGGGAGTTGGGCTGCCACCTGTTGGAGGCTTCCATTCCACCGCTGCCACAGATCTCATCAGCAACAGAAGGCAGAAGAGGAAGAGAGGGGAGGATGATGGATATCAGGTCTGTAAGACCCGTTCGTAAACTACAAGGACATCAAGGAGGAGGAGGGCAGTGAGAGCGCAGGCAAGACAGGGAAGGAGAGCTTCGGGTTATACACTTGACCATCAAGCATCGGAGGAGCTCACAGGCAATATCACCGGGGACAAACTTTGGAGGGAAAGACAGGGAGGGGAAGAGAGGGGGAAGGAAGTCAACGTGGTGAGAGGGGGAGAGAGAGGGAAGTCACGGTCAGCTTCACAAGACTGAGATTACATGGAGACGTGGAGGGGTACTCCAAGGGAGAGTCGCTCTTGGTGGGCGTGAAAGACACGCTTCTGCTCATACGGGAGGCTCTCAGTGGTACGTGAGGGATGAGTGAGGCCCTTCAAGTTGCACCGTCAGCCCAACTTGACTGGGCGGCCGTGACGGGCCACTATGACTGGTCAGTTTGCAAGTTTGTCCGAGACGGACCTCCGCAGAGTCTTCCTGACGAGTCAATCAAAACTGCAAAGCCTCTATCCCCCGCACCGTGACGCAGTGACTGACTAGGCCTGAGCTTCAAAGGATCGTGCCACGCGGCGTCACTATGGCATGCTCCGGCGCACAGCTGCGGCCGCTGACGGGCGGGTCGTTGGTGTGCCAGGCGGCGGCACCGTTCATGAGGCTCGGGCGCAGGGTGCCGGCAGTACCTGGTTAGCCTCGCCCAACGGCCAGCCGCTGAGCGTCAGCAGGTTATCCGACATTCTTGAGGCTTCAGTGTTGCTACCAGGGCTCGGACCCGGAGCCCGGGAACTGAATTTAGTCAATTTCTTCTCACTGTATATAATTGTTTAGTTACTTTGCGCAGTACAAAGGATTCCGATGCGCCCATTGCTCGTAAGAGATCAGGACCGTGACCGGGCGGCAGGGTGGCCGGCCTCGTCACGGTATCACGACAATATCTCTGAGGCAAGGTTGGATCGGTCGGGTGAAACCCAAACGATTCAAATCTTTTCAGCATGCTCCCTGGCAGTTAAATGGATGTACCCAGGTTTTTCCTTCGCGGGATGGGTGGGGTAATCAGAAACGTGTCTGCCCCCCTGCCATAAAACGTTGTGTTTCTTTTTAGAACAAGTCAAAACAATACTTTTCATCTTTCAATATTACATCGTTTCGTCAAAACTTGTCCACAGCCTTACACGTAGAAGCTTCTGGACTTGCTCACGTGACCCAGTCTTGTTTCCGACACGCCTTTGCCATGCTTCCGGGACCACCGTTGCCCATCCCTGCACCACCCGTAGTTTTGCGTTCTAAACCTTCTTTCCGGTAATAGTACCCCTACCTTCCTCGAGTACTGCAGGGGTATCCTGAGCAGATACACCGCTACCCGCCCTTTTCCGGGCAGTTGAAAAGGCTGCAGCAGCTCCTCCGACTACCCGCACCCCCGCAACCCTACTTGGTCGCAAGTCGCAAGTCGCTTTCACTCCAGAAGCCGTTGCCCTCGCCCTCCCTCCCCTTGAACTCTCCTTGCCTTGGTTGTTCTCTGCCTCACTGCTCTTCTTGCTTCTTGCCGCCTACACACGAGTGCACGTGCGCTCGCTCCAGGCTCGCCGGGGTACCTTGAACGAAACACTGGACTCGTGAGGCTCATTCTCTCTGGGAAACATTTGGTTCTTATCTGGTTGTTTCCTCTCTTCTCCTTCTATCGTCAAAACCGGCCAAATTGAAGGGGAATCCCAAGTTGTCTGTGTACGGCCACGCGAATTGTGATGACTCAAGATTATACCTTCCTGGAAGAGTCGCGACAAAATACTGATTATGCGTCATATTCCTCCGTCGCCAACTTCAACGAGAACATCATGACTCGCCAATTCTCGAATCTGAGCGTTTGTGAAGAAAATTGCTGTGAAGACTGGAAAGTTAAGATGCTTTTGCGGGTCATGATTGATGCTAAGGGAAATGAGCATCATGTGTCGTGGCTTGATATCCGTCGGAAGGGGCTCTTCTTCATAGAAACAGAAGATTGCAAGAAATTTACTTCAGTCTTAGCATGAGATGTGTTCATATTGAATTCTGTAGCATATTGTTTAGTTGTCTTATTACCATACACCACTTCGCGGCAAGCAATCCTAAAGCAAACACATTGAAGACCTTCAATGTGTGTTTTATGCCCAATAAATTCCAATTTTCCAATTTGTTTGAATCAACACCCTTTATTCTGTACTAATGTCTAAAATCATGTTGAACATGTTGCTATAGCGTCAACACAAGACCGGTTTAGTTAGGTGATAGCCTGCGATGTCATTGGACTTTTTGGATACGATTTCATTCATTCATAGGAATTACTGAATCAACGATTATGCGTTGACCTTGTTGCAGCGATGTGAAAGAAGAAAGCAATTGATTTTGATGGATTCGGAATGTCGTGTGTTAATTAAAAAATGATAATGCAGTGATAGATTTTAATTCGCAGAAACGGAAATACAAAGAAATTTCACTGTACCAAGGAAGGAGAACTATAACCACATTCAAGCATACGGAATCGAACCGTATCAGGGTGTGACCACACAGCTTGAAAATGTTTTTGACCACTGTAGCATCGATGCAAGGAACATCAACAAAGCATCAACATCTGTTGATTACGTCTCCTTCCAACATTTCAATTCAGGTATTGCAGTCGCCTGAAAAATGATGGTCAGATAGCTTGCTTGAATGCAAGAGTGAAACAAAGGGAAATCAGACAGACATGCACTCATAAGAAATTTGTTAGAGAACAAGTTCTCTTCAATGACGGGTGTTCAGGCCGTCTCAAAGCGAGCTGGGTTGATGTGGACGATCACAGTGCATATATTGAAGTTCAACAGCAAGACCATTGCAACCAGACATCACTTCACATTCGCAATGACCTTGGATTGTTCTTCAAACCATTGAAGCGTCTTGTGGGTCAGCTAGAATCGTCTGACCTGTCAAGCAGGCATAGCTCGAGGTGATTTGTTCCTCCTTTATTCTGTGAGAGGAGCAAGGAAAGGCTCCCGGCTCTTTCACGCATCTTCATGGATGCTTCACTCTTCTTGTCCTTTCAGCTCCTCTAGCATCGGCTGGCTGCACGTGTAGGTGATATGATTTAGTTAATTAGTTTAAGCCTCAGTCTCGTGCACTTTGAAGCCCTGAGTGGATGAGTCACCCCGATCGTACCGTACGCCGGACTCCCGGGACGTGGAGCGCGGGCCGGGCGGGCCGCCCGCACTGCGGCAACTTGGCAACCCGGCCGTGCCGCCGAGGCCGTCGGATCCGCCGCGGCAGTGTGGCCGGCCGGCACTGCCAGACTCGGAGTACGCCGGGTCACTGTCAGGCTGAGTCCGACACGGTCACGCCACCGACTCCGACGGCGGACCGTACCCCGGGTCACTCGCTCAATTGGGTTTCGGGATCGCCGCCGCTACTAGTCAAACCGTAAAAGTCAAACCCCGGCGGGACGGTCCCAGATCGGACCCGGGCCGCCCGAGTTCAACGGTTGACTCGTAGTGACTCGGTGGCGGGCCAGGCTGACGCCGCGGCGCGGCGCGCGGCGGCGGCAAGCCCAGGCTCGGAGGCCGCTCACTGACTCAGTGACCCAGAACTGTCGGCGTGCCACTGAGTCACCCGGTTGCGGCGGCCGTGAAACTGAGACGTGAAATTTACTCTGTCAAACGTCCGAGTCACGTGTCACACCGTACCGTACGGTACTGTGACGGTCACATTGAACCTCAGGCTCCGAGCCTCTAGTAACTTAATCCGACTCCGACTCGGATCATTGCCCGCGGCCGGGCCACCGACTCTTCTTCACTCAAACTTTAAGTTCAAGTAAAGATCAGTACGAAGACAATCAGGAGATCCCCCAAACTTAACCGTCAGTGCGTGACTGATCGAGTCCCGCGGTGGCCCGTCAGTGGGCAATGTGGTACAGAAACCATGTCTTCCATTCTTCAGCACTCATCTGCAAGCAAAGTAGACGGATGATGAGATCATTCAAAGCGCGATCTGTTGAGATAGACTCAGACATAACTTACTGTGTATGGAGTCTGGACGATTCGGGAAAGTTTCCATCGATCTTCTACGAAATGATCTTTGATGACCGTGTTATTAACGAGTGTGATTCTTCTCACTTTCGTCTGTCATTAAGTCATTGATACCAGGCTCACCTCGCATTTCACCTCCCACTGCACAGCGCTGGATTCGCCAGTTTGGAACAAAACAGCGTACTTATAATCAAGCTGAACGAAATTCAGTGATACTCTTATTCGATTGCTGAAAGTTACTTGTTGAGCCGTCTTTGGAAAAAGGACGATTGTCTTGAAGATGGGAAAACTTGATGTAGCATTCATGACAATGCCCTTACAAAGATTGTTAGAACCAAACAAGACCAATCATGGATAACCATCTATCCTCACCTTGTCTGCATGCCAAAGTCCAGTAGTTTCAAGGTTTCCGCTGAGAACAAGCTTTTGTCCTCCTCTTATCCCATCAAGCACGTGTGGAGCTGAGACCTAGTGGGTCTCTATCATGACACTTTCAGAAGGACTATACTACATTCCTGAAACTCCACTCGGAGCTTGTCTGCTACTTGGAACTGTTCAGCTTGCTTTTTGAAGCAAGTCAGCGATCAAAACGAAAAGAGCAAACAACCACCTCGGACTTCTGATTTTCTTCCATCTTCTGATAATATTCTTTAAATTGTTTTCGTCTTAGCTCCCATCGCTGACGTAAAATGATTCAGCACAAGATTTAGTAGAGTTTTGCTGCAATCACTTTAATGCTGATCTCTTGCGACCAGTCATCACTTGTTACTGTCAGCAGTTTATGTCATCAAATTTCATTCAACTTCATTGAAATACCCGGTTCCGAAAATTCTGTAATGAATGGCTGCACCAAATTGATCATCGAATACATTAGTAGCTATTTAAGAATTACTTCTTTGGAGTCCTCGGGAGTATCGGGAAAATATTCTAGATAATCCGAAAGATCGGAAGACAAATCTATTTTTCCTCCACCACGCAATATCTGAATCGCCTGTCAGAGAAACAGAAGGTGCAAGGCTACAAGACAAAATCGGGTCGGAAAGGTGAGGTGCGAAATTCGAACTAACCATGCAGTGCAGCCACACGGCTCTCCAAGCACGCGCATGATGCGTCAACAAGGAGGAAGGAGTGGAAGGGATCCCATGAGAGCAGAATGAGGAGGAGGAGAGGACGAGGAGAGCAGAGGCGACGGGCAGAGGGGCCCGCGATCCCCTCATCTTCGGTTTTGAGCTTGCATGTTTCCACTTGAAAAAATAAAGATGACTCATAAAAAAACATTTTTTTAGGGTTTTACGGTAGGGGTGTAAGGTGCGGTGCAATGAGCCAACGGGAGGCAGGGAGGCAGGAGGAGAAGAGCAGCGAGGACGTCGCGATTGTTGACAGAGCTCTGATAGAATACATGAACGAGAAATGGAGGTGACCCCCCTCTCCGTACATGCTGAGATGCTCTTCTCATACATGTGCCAGAAATGAGAATCTGCGGATGCTGCAAGAGCTTGGAGACATTGATAAGCAGAACATTCAAATGATGGAGGAGATCATGGAAAAGTACGAAAGTTTTTATCCTTTCTTATCTCTGCTGATGATATTTACATCTTAGAATTCCTTCTCTTCCAGAAGAAAAAGTGATGGACAAGAATATATCCGAGGTAAATTGTTGGTTGGTTGTTTTCAATCTAAATCTGTATCGAAGGCGTTGAATTTGTTTGCGAGAGGCTCTGCAAGCCATACAGATCAAATATAGTTCTCCAGAAACCCGCGTGACGACATCACGAGCTTTAATGGATTCCAAGAAGATAGTTGGCCGCTCGTTCCATATTTCCATCAGCAGCATTCAATGCATTGAGAACCTGCGATGCAGCTTAAGATAGACATCTTAGTGACGAGAGTCGCGACCTGGCTATGATCGAACCCGAGCTCTTGTAATTGTTTGATAACATTCGCGTCCCAACTGCATCTCAAATAAGTTGAAGTGATTGATAACGACGGCAATGAAACACGATGAAATCTCCCACCTCTTTGCTCCTCTGCTCTCTGTACTTGTTTTCGACGTCGATGCTCCTGTAACAAGCAGACGTGTCATCGCAAGATATCATACCGCCTGCAAAGAAAGCCTGTTGCAATACCATGAGATCCGCTCGCCTTCCCCAATGGCAAGTCCCTGCACAAGTTAGTCAGCATGTGAACAAACTCGTCTCTTGCTTTCTACCGCTGAGTCTCTTCGCAATCATCTGGCAGATACGCTGCTCCTGGCATCATGCACGTCAAGGATCCACAGAGACGGCAGGCTCAGCAGCATGAATCACCAGCTTCCATGTCCTCTACCATCTCACCCTGCTTCGGCGTCACCACAACACCTCCTCGACGCAAGTTCCACCTGTGTGAAGCGAAGAATCTTGTCGTGTATTTTCTCGTCAATGTGTTGAAGTCTTGTCTTGAGTTCGATCAGACATTGTGCGCTCTGATGCTCCTTGATCATTCTTTTGGCTGTCAGCACAGCAACATCCAGCTCCTGTTGTCTACAATTCAGAACTTCATATGCGAAGGCCGGGGAGCTTTAAAATCACTTGGATGAAAGGGGAAGGCTGCTGGTTACGAGCGTCGATATCAGGTCTTCTTGTTCGGTCAACAGGATAAGGTGCGCCGGGTGATCTGTGAGGTTCCAGTGAGGTTCGGCCGGGCTTGCAGCTAGCGCTACTCGACCTATCAAGCATCCCCTCGCTCCATAGATCGATCTTCCCGTCCATCTGTCGAAGTTAAGATCAACCCAATACACGCTCTCTCTTACACCACGGGCCTAGACCGATTCACTATCATTTGAAGGTTCTGCGTGAGGCATTTGCTGAACAAACTCTTTACATTCCTCTCTCCCTCCTTACAACCATCTCCTGACCTCACTCTCCCTCAGGTACTCCCTCATCTGCCCTGCCCCCTGCGTCCTCAAAGCATCTCCCTTGCCATTCCTGCCTCTTGGTTGCCCCTTGTCCCTCTATCCCTCACCGTGCACTCTCCCTCCCCTCATCGCCTAATTGATGTCCCGCATCCCCTCGCATCACACCCGCCAACTCTATGCTCTCTTGCCTGTTGCCCCTCGTCGCCCTTGCCGTCACTCACTGAGCTGTGCTGCCTCCTATCACGATCTACCGACCCGCCTTCCGCTCCATGCAACAGCCACCACCAGTGCTGAGTACTGGACCCCGGGGAAGCGTAGGAGCAAAGTGGGGTGAAAGCGTTGGGAGTGGGGTAGAGATGCGCGAAGGGTTTGCGGCATGTAATCAGATGGCTTCTAAGTTACTTTTAACAGACAAGCGAGGTGCCATCCGGACCTCTTCTACAAAGGACACTCTTGGCTTAGGCAGCTTGGCCTGGCGGCATGGATTTCTCAGGTGACTGGTTTGTCGGCTCGTCGACTTCAGCAAGCTGGCAAAGGGTTCAGTCACGGCATCAAGAGGGGAAGCTGCTTCACCTGCGCCCACTTGCCGGGGTTGGCTGCAGCCTCACGGATGGCAGAGATGGTGTGCACGTGCTTCACAAAGACAATCTTGTAGCGCAACGTCATATGCTGGTTAACTCTCTCGCACAAGCAAACCTGCACGGCAGCTGCCAGGGAGGCGCCGAAGAGTGGTCCAACGAACATGACCCAAAGATCACCGCTGCATGCAAGTGAGAGAGATCGAAGCAAGAGTTGCACGCGTGCCTGGGCTTGTACTTGGGACAACCTCGCATGCTAGAGATGACGGCCGGGCCGAAGGAGCGGGTGGGGTTGATAGAGCAACCATCTGGAGGAGCAGAATCAGATGCGTCACTGTCACGCAGATGAGACTCGCACCGATGGGCAGCAACACGACGTGCGCCAGGAAGACGGCAAAACCGATAGGAATGCAGGCTGCCTGCCCGCAGCGAGCTGTCACGGCAGTTTCCCAGACCACATAGCAGAGCAAGAAGGTCATGGCGACCTCCCCAGAAAAGGCTGCGCCGTAACCGAAAGCAGGGTTTACAACGTTGGTTCCCAGACTGTTGGTCATATCCATTTCGCAAGGAAAAATCCAGGTGAGGATAATCGCACCGAGCACGCTGCCCAACATCTGTGCTATGAAGTTTGCAAGGCCTTGGAACCAGGGAACCTGCCCGCCGAGAACAAGACTGAGAGTGACAGCGCAGTTGATTTGCCCGCCACTGTGATGCCCGGTGGCATACGCAAGAACTAAGATCCCCATCCCAAAGGCGGAAGCTACCATGTATCGCGATGACGCGTCGAACGCGCCATTACCACCTGGGACGTTGTAAGAAGATCAGAAACCATTCTAAGAGACAAGATCGCCTTACATGCAGTTCCGCACCCGATTATCACAAAGAGAGTCATAGCCATGAATTCAGCACAGGCTGCCTTCAAATCGATGACTTTCGGATGGTATTCACCCGGGTTGATGAAACCAGTTTCAGAACGATCGATACCCCACGCGATAGGCCATTGGCGAGCTCTTGCAATAGTTGGCATCTACGTACAAATCTTTAGATTGATATTGACTATATCTGAACAAGATCACTGTATTATTCTAAAGTTAAAGACAATCTCAAGTGTTTCTTACTTCTTCATGTTTTGTCTACTTCAGGTGAACGTTCTGGGAGCGTGAAAGAAACAAGAGTATGGTACTGCAGATGAGAGATCATTGCAAGCAACACAACAAATAGGAAGTCTTCTCTCAACAGTTGTATCTTCACGTTTGCCAACACGAAAGCATTATTGAACAGGGACTTGAATCGCTCAGAAAGTTGCAAAGGCAAGCAGGAAGTAATCAAACGGATGGCGGCATAAGTCTGAAGTATGGCGATGTAGTGGATCGTTCAGATTCAAGTGCTACATGTACCAAGGGAATCGAGTGAGTCTGGGGAGAAGAGATGGAGGCTGGGCGCTCGCTTGTCTGTCCTCAAGCTGAGGACGAGGAGGGCGACGTAGACGTCTTGGCAGGAAAGTGAGAACGAGTTGGGTACCCCCCTTAGAACATGGCTAAGCTTTCTGGAGATACCACGGGTGATGGAGTTTCATTCCTATATATTCCACCCGTATGATAAAAAAACACAATTTTACTAATGAAGAAGAGCCTGCCTCAGGATAAAGCTAAGAGATGAATGGGCTTCTTTAGAGCAACAATGTTTTTAGATGAAGATAAGTGAAATATGTTCCATGTATCGTTCTAGAATTCGAAGTGGGGGAGCAATCGGGGGAAAAGCGATCCCCCACAAAAAGGAGTTAGCTAAAGAAAGAAAGGAATAAAGCAGTCAGCTGTCTGGATATGATTATAGTCCGGTTGACTTAACTTTGAGTAAAGGGTTGACAGTCGCCCTCCCTCCCTCCCTCCCCTCCCCTCCCTCAATCGACCCGTGAGGTTGCTCTGCGTGAGAAGATACTTGAGACTCTTTGTGATCTGTACGAACCCAACACCCTGCGTCCGTACAAGTAAAACTTGAAATGAACCAAGTGCTGAAATCATCCCGAAAGCTCTTTCTCGCGCACTGAATAATTACCTCGGCACTGGTGGAGACGCTTGCTGAAGAAAGGCGAC